GGTCTGAAAAAATATGCGAGGTACAAGTGGCTGAATCGGGAATCGAACCCGAGTCTTTCTATGTCTAGATGTACTATGTCTATGGCTGCGGTCAGGAAGATGCTAGAAATGCTTCGAAGCGTTTGATTGACCAATCAGAACAAAAAGAGTAAAGATCTATTTATTCTGATTGGTTAATGTAATGCTTCGAAGCATTTCTAGTGTCTTCTCGACCGCACCCTATGTCCCATTTCTCCCTGATCACCAGGGTGGTGCCAGGTGCCAGGTGCCAGGTGCCAGTGCCAGCTGACAGACTGACAGTTATGAAAAGGATAAAGGATACTCCGATACTCGTTCAATGCCATTTTAATTCACGAAATTAAGTCGCACAGAAAGGAAAAGCACACAATTGACAGTTTGAAAAATTTAATTGACAAATAGGATATCATTTTTAACCGCAACAATGCACGACGCTTATGAGGAAACGTCTATATTAAATATTACTGTGCAAATCGAATCCATGGCCGCTTACGGTTAATAATTTTTAGTATACATAATCAAATTATTAGGAATTATTCTCGATGGACTGGAGTATTTATTGCTTATTGTATTGTTTATTTCAGACGATAACTTATTAATAGGTACAAGAGAGGGTCATCTTCTTATGTACAATGTTCCGCCAGTGTTTGATGACAGTCACAAGCTGGAATTACTACGTCATAGTAAGAACTTTAACAAAAAAAGGATCAATCAGATAGATGTTGTACCAGAATATAATTTATTGATCATTTTGACAGGTATAACTAAGATAATACCAGTTTCCTTTTTAATGTATTAATTTATATAGGCAATGCAATTTTTATTGTGCATTGATTTTTAATTATGGAAAATTGCAGATAATATTGTATGCTGCCACGATTTGAATTCACCAAACTTTCAACAAATATATCAATTACCAAAAACTCGCGGTGCTACTCTATTCACTTTGGATATTCAGTCAACGCAGAGTCTGACAGGAAAAAAAAATACTGTAGTGCGCTTATGTGTTGCTGTGAAACGTAAATTGCAATTATATTACTGGAAGGGAAAGAAGTTTGAAGAATTTAATGATTTTGAATTGACTGTGCCAGACATACCTCGTCAATTAGCATGGTAATACATATTGAAAAGTTATTAAAATACCTCAATATAATAGTTTTTATCTGATCAACTTAATATTAATAATTAAGGTGCGGTGAAACATTGATATCAGGATTTCGTGGATTATCTTATACTATTTATGATTTGAATGGCAAACCTAAAGAACTC